TGGACTTCTAATACGTGAGAGTGGTTCCCTCTTTCGGGCGAAAACACGTGCTGTCAATTGGGACGACTCTCTGGCTCAAGTACATTAAAAAGGGATAAGATGGGCACTCGGCGCCAATTAAACAAGGGTACAAAATCTGATTGCTTGACCCTTCTGCTGGCGCTAAGTATTCTTACAGTTGAGTTGAAATTTCGAAGGTTACTCCGTGTCCAAGATGGACTGACGGGGTGGGCGATTAAGTTTAAAGTACGAGTTTATACTTTTGAGCCCCAGCTAGGTGCTCCGGAGTCTCAGTCAGGAAAGTATTCCACCAGAGATTATCCGCAAGTGGCGTGATTGCTTCGGCGGAGAATGAAATTTGGTGAGCAGCAGAGACATAAACGTGGAATAGGATGATTTTTAGCTTGAGTGCATACGCGAAAAAATCAAACATTTTCTACTACACTCTCAAAGGGTTTGCAGCTGAGAACATTGTGCGGCATATGAGCCTAGCCGCTGCTCGCGTATAGCCGTGCACTCAGACGGCAGCCGATTGCTTAGAGCCTATTTATCCGACTTGGTGTTCCTGTCTTCGACGCATTCGGGGTGGGATTACTTTCACTACTGCAGGATAAATGTTAGAATGGGTGAATAAAGCAGGCCAAATATTCAGGGACTGTACGAACGTTTTTCCTCTCAGTCCTCATCACCGTGCAGTCTGTTTACGTGTTTCGACTGAGAAAGGATTCCTGGATTTCATTTCAGCTGTACAACTGCAATTTTATCCCCTCCGGTTCATTTGCTCACAGGTCCTCCTACGCAACGCGCTATCATAAGCTCAGTTTCCAACGGACGGTATACAACATAAATTCCCGGCGCTATCCAACCAGCTTTCGAGGTTTCAGCATAGTTCTTACCCCTCCCAGGTGAAGCCCACCCCCACCCCCGAAAGAAGAAGAAAGCGTCCAGCTGTAGCACCCTTCCAGTGCCTAGCTGCCATGCCACCCGAAGGAAGCACGAGGGCTGGGATACTGCCAGGTTGCCCACGCCTAGACAGGGGAAGTCGAGTGGCGGAGGTCGGATTCGAACCACGGACCTTCCGGTCAGTAAATTCGCGCTCTAACCAGTTGGGCCGTCTCGCCCCCCAGTCTCGCCCACCCCCGATATAGCCCGACATCGTTAACAATCTCAGTGTGATAATACCACAGACAGCTTTTTTCGGATTCGAAAACGCTTAATCGTTAGAACGCTTCCTTCAACTTTCGCAATAGTCTACAAGTTTCTACTGCTGAAGAGATCTGGCGGAATCTCTTTGATCTCTAACCTAACGACCTCAATGAGCACTAGGTGAATCCCGTTCTAATGCTTCCGCTCCACAGACAATCATTCTGCATTATTCATGAGGTCAGCTTCAGCCAGATTAGGCATCATGCACGCACCCAAACTCCTGTCAAGTTAGGTTCTAGAGTGCTGAGGACCGTTGGCGCTAGTTAGACGGGTTTGTCTACGTGGAAACCCTCAAAATAAAGAGTTTAGATGTGGTTTAATTACTCGGTGAAACAATCGCTGCCTCTTCTTCTCGATGCTTACCTTTATACATCCCGGAACTAGTGCAGTCATGGGCGATAGGCTCTTGTGTTAAATGGGGTGTAGTCCGTAAGTTTTCGGTGCTTCGGTGCCAAAAAAGTATTGCTCTGTTTCCATGAGATAACGCTTTAATTTCACGTTACTAAAGAGTTCTCCAGACTTGGATCTCTGAACCAACCCCATCACGGGTTGATGAGAGTGATGCCCACCGCAGTTTTGCGCGAACGTGTCGACCCATTTCATGTCATTAGTGATAGTTTTACCCAGTGTTCATCACCCCAGAATTTCATCGTTCGCCTCTTCCTGTAGCTGACCTATGCATAGGCCAGTTTCTAGTATAATTATTGCTCGCCAGCATAGGACCACCTAGGGTTTTTTCGCCCTGAACTGTCTGCATGGTATTCTCCTCCTAATATTCAGAAATCTTCACGAGGTCAGGTGGGTTCATTTAAATTTATGTAAACTCTGACTTGGGTAAAAGCTGCTGTTTGGGCCTATCTGGGCAGGTTTGTGTTGACCCTGCAAGAAACCAGGTTGACGTCGTCGATGGAGTGATAAGTTTTGTGCACAGAATGAACAAAAACTAGAGAAGAATGGGTAGTACTTTGAAGCTTTCGTATAAAATCAGCTACGAAAAACGGGCTTGTTCTTTGAGAAAATAGCAAATCCATGGCGAACTATGGGCAAGGACTAAGGTTAGGAATGACAGTCGTGGTACCGCTACCGCTATCACGTACTTATTTCTCCAGATAGCTGCGTACATGAACGTTCCGTGCGAGTCATTGGGGGTCACTGGGATAGTTAAAGAGGACCAAGAAATTGAGCCACCGCGTTCACAGTTGGTTGTGTAGTCCTACATGCGGCTTAGCCAGGTTTCCGAAGTTTTATTAGACGAAATTCAGCACCGTGGTTCACAGGTACGTTTCCTCGTTATTAGCTCGTGTGAACGGATGGCAAGTTGACGTTTCCTCGTTATTAGCTCG